ATCACATTAGATAATGATATGTTTAAAGAGTTTCTATAAAACTCTAACACAAATTACCTAACTCTAACACAAATTACCTATTTATCTATTTAATATGAGTTTTTTAAGAAAAAAAATCTAATTATACAAGAATTATTAATATAAAAAAATATTTATTAATTGATGTAAAAATATTTTTTAAAAGAGTTTCTATCAAAATCTTACACAAATTATCTATTTATCTGTTTATTATGAGTTTTTAATAAAAGGAAATCTAACTAGATAAGAATTATTAATATAAAAATATTTTTTAATTAATATAAAAAATTAAATAATTTTTCTAAAACTCTATCACAAATTATCTTTTATTATAACTTTTTTAATAAAAAGAAATATAATTAGACAAGAATTATTAATATAAAAAATAATCTATAAAACTCTACCACAAATTAGTTATTTTATTTTCTTTTAGTATTTCATTATTTATTGATTAATATAAAAAATATTTATTAATTGATATAAAATGAATTAAAATAAAAGAATTTTTATAAATATAATGAATTAAAATAAAAGATTTCAAATCATTATTAAAACAACTAAAAAATAGATAAAATAGGTAATAGTTTAATAAAATAATTTATCAAATAATAAAATAAGTTACAAAACATTTATCACGTGTATGTACGTACCTTTTCTAGGAGGGAAGGAGGGAGGGGGACATCGGCTCCACCCCTATTTTCAAATAAGGTTGTATAATTACGCTTTGAAACACACTTGTTGAATTAATTTCGACGATAATTTTGTTATTTTAAGCCTTAGGTAGGGTGCAAGTGGAAAATAAAAATGTGAATTATCAAATCTATACTTGCTTAAAATTACTGTTCATTCGGGGTTTTAAATTAAGAAACCCTAAGACATAGCATTTTGAAGCAGTCCTTTATAGGTTCAGAATATATGTGTGTGTATATATATATAAATATGTAACTTTTGTTTGTTGTTCAAGAAAGGTGATGGGTGGGTTAGTGATCGAGCAGTACTTGATGAGGACATGGGTTTCCATTGTAGTTAACACAATGCAGAATGGTTCAGACCATTGAGCCCAAATACTAAAGAGGCATGGTCACACCCCAAGCACCAAGAACCAAACCTAATCCAGTCCTTTCCAATATATATACATACATATATATATATATATATATATATAGGCTGTCTTTTATGAATTTGGGCAAAAACATTACGAGGAATGGTAGAGCTGAGAGAAAGATAGGAGAGAGAAATTAAGATATCAGTTTCAGTTGCAGTTTCTTCAGATGATTTGTTAGTTTTGCATGGTTAAATGAAACCTATAACATTGGAAACACATATGGTACAGTAAAAGTATGTTTGTTTTTATACGTAAAAGTTGATTGATATATTATTCATTGATATATGGATGAGTATAAATTTATAATACGGACTAGTAATTTACTCGGAAGTGTCAAAAGCAAAATGGTCAAAAGACTCCTACTCTCTCATTTGCATTAAATACCCACCCCTCTCTCTTTCTCAGTCCTACATATAGAGTAGTATTATAGTAGTGTATATATATATCAAAATATAATTATTCTTTGATATTAAAATTAAAAAAAAATGTGAAAAGTGCATTAAAATATCTCTGTCTCTGTCTGTCTGTCTCTCTCTCTCTCTCTCTCTCTCTCTCTCTCTCGTACTAGTACTATATATTAGTGTATATATAAATCAAAATATGATTATTCTCTGAGATTAAAATAACAAGTGGGTTGGATTTAGTGAGATTATGTTTAAAATAATAAGTTGGATTTTTTATTTTTATTTTTATTTTTCATGACAAGAATATGAGATGGACTGATGCAATGCCCGAACACAGCTCACAGACATGAGGATTAATCAAATTATTCTAGTAACACAACATTTGCATTTAAAAGAAGAGATTAAAAAAAATAAATTATGCAGGTGATAATTAATTTTCTTCTATTTGGTCATGGTTGAACAAGAATCCATGAAATATCATGATCTGTTTTACATTACCTATCTGTAGTACACATGAATTTTCATCACAGCAACTACAATGAAGTAACAAATGAAAAAGAACAATGGGTTTAAGGTAGAAGAGGTATACATGATCAACACACACACACACACATCAAACGTGGTATGTGGGTCAAGTCAACCACGTACGTAGCCTTTTTCTTATATGATTTTTGCCAAAATGACACAGAGGGTGGTAGGGTTCAGAGAAAGATGAGATCATCAGAGACTGATTGGGGTTTTCAATTCTAAACGACTTTACTTTTCCCCAAAACAAAACAAAATTGTGAAATGTTTGTCTGTAGACTTTCTTATTGTTTTTGTTTGCTAAAGAAAACCTTAACAGTACAATGGAAGCATATAAAAGTGACAATCATGGCATGTAGTGCTGGTTTGTAAGTTCAAATTTGAAAATTCAACAAAATCGTACGCTCCTTTTTCCTTGATTCTTTAAGCCTTCCCTCATTTATGAAAAGTCCATTCCCTTTGATTTCTCACACAGTCACACACTCTCTCTCTCTCTCTCTCTCTCTCTTTATATATATATATAATTATGTATGTATGTACAGATATACATATGTTTGTTTTTTTGTCACCATATACATATTCAAATGGGTGGTTGATTTCTTTTTCGGTTAGGTAAAATACAATAAGCAGGAAGAAGAAGAAAAAAAGAAAAAAAAAAAGGAAAAAAGAAGGATAAAATAGAATAAATCATTATACTTGAGTTGAGTTTGGATTACTCTAATTGGGGCAATTTTGATCAATAGTATACCATTCTTATGAAGATTCAATTTATCAAATTGCTAAATTTTTAAAAAGGAATTTTTTTCTTCAAAGTTTAATCTTTCCTTTAAGGAAAAAAAACGTTGTACCATTTGAACAAAACGAACCTGTCACTTTTTTAGAGAGAAATTGCGAGTCAAAGAGAGAGAAAGTGACCAATTAGAGATTTACTTAGATTATGTTTCGTACTTATAAAAAAGTCTGTTTTTCATAAATTTTCTTTTATAATTTTTTTAAAATTGAGTTTTTGAAAATTGTTTTTTAAATTATAAATTAAACATGTCTTAAAATTTTCAAATCACTTCTCTCAATAATTTATGGATAGTGAGCGTTATATCTCATTACACACAACTATAATATAACATTGATCTCCCATCAACAACCTTTCATTTTTCATTAAAAAGACCAAGAGGTACAAGATCTTTTTACGTATTCCTGTATTAAAATTTTTCATTTTATGAACACCTACTCCTAACTTCATAATGAAATATAAAAATTAGAGTAACTGAACAGATTGACTATAAAAATTGAATGAATTAAGTAGTCATTCATTATATTAATACTCGATTTATATTTTTATTCTTATTCATTTAATTCTACTAATTATTCTCTAAACATAATCAATAAAATGCCAAAAAAAAAAAAAAAAAAAAAAAAAAAAAACTCATGCTATATATACAATATATACAAAATGAGGTCTAGTCCAATGGTATAATTTATTCTTACAAAGAGAAGGGCAAGAATTTCAGCTGATTGGAGGTACTATCTAAAACACTTTTCATCATTTTATATATATATATTTTTTTGATAAAGAGGCTTTTTCTATAGAGTATTATTTAACTCTACTTGCAAAAAAACTCCAACAAAAAATTCAGTACGACTAAAAAGTAATTTTTTCTTTTTTCTTTTTTAGCAAACATATCTAAATGAAAACTTCAAATATCCATCAATGCCAAATGGTCACTAATTCTGACATGTTTGTGTTAAAATATTTGGAGGTTTACATTGCCCTTTTTATCATATTCTTGCACAATATGAATTTTATCAAAATTAAATTAAATTAAACAATTCACAACACAAAAATAAAAAGAAAATAAAATAAAAGTAAAATTTAGAGAGTAACAAAAATGGTAAATCAAGCTATTTACTTTGACAATTCCAACCAAGTATCACTAGTCCAAAATATGGATAAATTATAGTGATTTCTCTTATGATTTGTCATAATTATATGGACTTTTTTTTTTAATTTGAAAAATTACTCGGACTTTTCCTAGAAATGAAACAAATCTACACAGACCTCCATTTTTAGTGACGGACTCGTCAAATGGATTAACAAATTTGTCTAATTTACTGAAATACCATTAAATTGTTATGATAAATGACTGTAATACCCTTCTGTATGTGCGAGGTAGAAGAGATAAACTAAGGATAATATTAAAATTTCAATTTATTCGGTACATCACATCAACAAAATTGGTTGCTAATATTATTTTTAGAGAAGACTCAAATAATATCTCAAATTACTGAAAAAACCAATTTATTACAACAAATCATAAGAAAAGTCTTTATAATTTACCCTCGGAGTATTTAATACTCCAGTTAGTTAATGATGTGGATAAATAGGAATTAATACTCTCATTAATTAATATTCAAAAGGCAATACAAGTATAACACAAAGAGTTTTCCATTTATAGCCCAACTGCAAGAGTAGCAAATGAGGTGTCCGTACGTGCACCAAAGGGCAAAAGGGTAGGTCTGTCTATCACATCCGCCGCCAAAAAGCACGTACCCTTGTCTTTCTCCTTGGGATTGCATTTAATGCTTCCATTGCCATTATTAGCTTTGCTTCCATTCCCATTTCCATCATTACAGATCTTTCATATCCCATTATTGTGATTCACTATCCCTCTATCCCAAACACTCCTCACTCAATCACCACCATCCGTTGCACATATACATACACACACATATATATATATATACATGTATGTATTTTTGTTGTCTTTTGGTTTTCTTTCAAAAAGGTATGTGTATATGTAAGTGTATATAACCGTACCACTGGTTTGATCTTCTTTATCTTTTTGGTCTCCTTCACTTTATTAGGGTCTTTGTTGTCTCCTTTTCTTCATCTTCACTTCTGGTTTGATATCAAAAGCCTCTCAATCTTTGTTGTCTCTTGTTTTTCTTCAATGACTTCATCTCCAAACTCTAAACCGTTGAACCCAGAGGCTCAGCCTTTCCCTACAGCCGAACATTTCTTGATGCTACCACATCAGTTCTTCCACTGTCAGCCACCGCCACTTCCATTTCCACCGGCGGAGCAGTGGCGCGCGGGTCTGTTTTACAAGCATCCACCAGCAGGTGTAGGTTGCTACCATGTGCGTTACCATCAACCACCTCTGCTACAAGGTGTCGGCTTCGACTTTCCCGTCGCCAACTCATGCGGCGGCGGTGCCGGAGGGGAGGAGGTGGTAAAAAGGAAAGAGAGGTTTAGGAGGCCCCGAAAGGTGTCGGCCCCCGCTTTGGGCAGTTGGAGGAGGAGGAGGGGGGTTTCTGAACCATCAGTACTCATGTGGAGGCCTAAAACTCAGTCCAAATCCAACTCGTCAGGTGGTGGTGTTACTGTTCATGCATCTTCACCACCACCACCACCTCCACCCCCACCACCACGACCGCTTCCCATATCACCATTTTATGATGTCGGGAACACCACTGTAATGATCAGAAATATCCCCAACCAATACAGGTAAGCTTCCAATCTGTTTGGTTTTTTGTTATAGATTTTTGGGTTTTTTACAACCACTTTTTCTTTTTGTTTTTAGAGTTGGGAATATGAAATATTTTCATTCTGATCATTATGTGACACTCTATCTGCTTACTGTTACTGTATTTTAATCTTTTTTTCCCCTTATGGTCTTGGATTATTATCTAAGTAGTCTGTGTAGTTTTGGTATATATATATATATATATATATATATTGTTCTTGAAGTTTATCCTCTTTGTGAAACTATCTAACCTTGGCCAAGAATAAGATCTGAACTCCCTCTGACCTTCTTGTTGTCCCACTACTTGAAAAAAGGCTGGAAAAGGAAGATATGTTATGTTCTTGATCGTTCCATCTTCCCTTTCTGTCCCTATCCATACTGTACCAATCCCAGGTGTCGTCTATTTATTGTTCACCCCACACACCCAAAATACACACACACACACACAGACACACACACACACACACATATAGATATTTGGCTATCATTTAATATCTTAGAGTTGCATTTCTTTCTCTGTGTATAAACATTTATGAGTATGTGTCTGTATATGTGGATTTTTAGTTCATTAACATCATTTGTTGATGAGTTGTGATCAGGAGGAACATGTTACTCGACTTCCTTGATGAGCACTGCCAAAACCACAACCAGAAGGCTGAGTTGCTGTCAGACCCACTTCACATGGCCTATGATTTCCTATATTTACCCATGGATTTTCGGTAATCATTTTATTTATTTATTTATTTATTTTTTTTATAACAATACACACACACACACACACACACATATTTTGAAGTAGTTGTGCGTTTTTTGTCTGCATATCTCTACAAAGACTAATCTGGTTTTGATTTTGGCAGTAGTGGAGACAATCTCGGGTATGCATTTTTGAACCTGACAAGCTCAGGTGCTGCTCTGAGGATGAGAGAAATGTTGCACCGTTTCAAGTGGGGCACTTTCAAATCAAGTGATTCAAAGATAGTTAATTCCAAGAAAGTGTGTGAAATCACTTGGGCAAGGATTCAGGTGATCTCTTTTATTTTCCAATTCTATGATACAAATTCAACTATTATATGAAAAATGTGATTGTGGGTTTGTATGCTTTTTCTATGATACACACACATATATGGTATGGTAATTTACTTTATTTTATTTTAATTACTAGGGGAAGGACAATTTGGTCAGACATTTCCAGAATTCAATCTTCCCTTGTGGAAATGTGGAGTACCTACCTGCTGTTCTTGCGCCTCCAAGGGATGGTTCAGCCACCACTGCCTCTGTGCTGAGCCCCATTGGGAAGTGTTTGCTTCTCCGGTAGTGAATCCTTGAAAAATAAACTTAGTATGTGGTTGGAACTTGGAAGTAGTTGTGTGCAGTAGTAGGTACATATATGATTTAGGGCTTATTAGGGTTAGGGTATGTACTACTACTACTTGAAGAAGATTGTAGTTTTCAAGATGTGTTAGTTTTAGCTTTTATTGTTATTATTGTTACGAGTCCATGACCTGTGTTTTGATTTTCTCCCTAGCTGGATTGAGAATCTGGGGTGAAATGGAAACATGGGTTTCGGTTTGTTGTATGAGCTGTGAGCACTAGATACTTATGTTGAGTTCATTGTTGTGTACTAATCTCTATGGTCCTTCGCGGTTCTGGTATCTATTTGGATGATGATTATTGGTACCCTCGTTCTGATTTTTACTTCTCTTATATACACACACACACACACACACATATATATACATACAGACATAAAGACATAATCTAGTGTGGATCGATTACACGGACTTTTAATTTTAAAACTCCTGGACTCGACTCCGATGGAGAGTTGTACCACTGAATTAAAAGCCTTGGTTAGCATTGAAACAAGTATCGATACATGTACGTGTTGCCTAATGATTTGTATTTGTTAGTAGTTTGGGGAAAAAAACAAACAAAGAAAAAAAAATTGAGGTTGGTGTTACAGTTGTGTGCGAGTATATATATACATATGCTTGTAACGTAAATGTATATGTTTTATAGGTATAAAAATTACATTCACAACCGAAGTTCAATGGAAGTTATCTTTCAACAAGAAAATGACAATATTGTCTTTTAAATGTATTTTTTACACTGAAGTGTAAAATTTTATGAAATTTGTAGTGGTAACGTAGCTAAAAAAACGTATGAATTTAACACCATGGTTCAAATACAATATGTTACTTCATTAATTATACCAACACACACACACACATATATAAAACATATTGTATTAATGAAATATCATTTGTACTCTCGTGGCCATTGGACCCAAATCCTCTCCGACTTGTTTCGTCCGATTCTTATAAAATAGTTGGGATATTTAACGAATATCTTAACTTTTTTATAACATATATCCAAACTGAACTCACTAGAGGGGATTTTTTTCCAAAGTGAGCCTGAGAGGTTTGGCAAAGATTTCAACTTTTTTTTGTAAAATACATTCGAAACATAATATACTTTATACAATATACAAGAGGGATTTTTTTCCGGAGTGAGCCAACCACCGTCAAATCTTCCTACAAAAAGTCCTTTATACCCTTTTATTTTAAATATTAGGCTAAATTAATCGCTCTAAACCTCTTTTTTCTGACAAAAAACATCTTCAATTTACAGCTACAAATTACTTTGTCAAATTTTATTAACCGGAACCAATGACTTGAAACTAGGATATATATATATATATATATATATATATATGAATCAAAGAAATTGGGATTGATAAAAAGGAATCTTTACCAAGGGAGATAGGGACTTGACTTTGCAACTTTTGTTGGAAGGACATTTGGAAGATTGAGACAAAAAGGAATTACAATACTTTCTCTCTGCTTGTATTATGTATCTATCTATCTATATCACGAGAGAGAGAGAGAGTGACTTCCTTTAAATCCTTTTAACCTGAGGAGGGGTAAGAAGAGGAGTGCATTTCCCATATGTAAGTGTTTTTTCACCATAACTAGGTGGGTTTCAAAATGGCAGCCTTTTCTGCGTCTGTAAGTAAAAGTGCATTGGTACCACAAAGTGTTTCAGGAAGATCAATCCGTTGACTCTTCAGAGAATCATCTGACCTTGTCTTCATTCCTTTGCTATCAAATTTGATAAAGCTAAGAATGATTTGGTATTTAATTCCACTAGAGATGGAATATATTGGACTCAGCCATTTTCAAATTTTCATAGAATTTTAGAAAGTTATGATTCAAGAAACCTTGTTACATATTGTTCCAGGATAATAATAATAATAATAATAAGAAGGAAATTGGTTGTGCAACAACAGCTGAAGCTATGGTGCTTAGAATGTTTTTTTTTTTTATTTTTTTTTATTTTTATTTTTTTATTTAACATTATTTAATGATTGGCAAAGAATTGTCACAATTTTTTGGGATAAAATTTGAATATTTCCCTCTTTCTAGTTAATAAATAGACTTTTTTACTTGAAAAAAAAAAGGGCAAAAAAATCTATTAATTGCAAAAATTGCAACATCTGACAAATGCTATATACATAAACAACCCCATACACACACACTCTCTCTCTCTCTCTCACACACACACACATCCATATAGAAGACAGACAACAAACAGCATCAAAGATCGTTTTTCATTAACTCCACATTTTCATCCAGCTCTCTCTCTCTCTCTCTCTCTCTCTCCAAACATGATATCAACGCTACTCCAGAGAAGTAAAAAATTAAGGGGTACGAATATTTCATGAAAGCTATTCAATTGAGATATTTGTGCATGTATGTATATATTGCATCTCTTCAAGTCTGAACTTTAGAATTTGAAGAAATCCCCAACTGCAAAAGTTACAAAAACACATATACATATATTAGGGCAAGCTGAGATATTATTAAAAGGGAATCAATACAGGTTTACAGGAGCAGAAATTAACACCAAGGGTTGACTTAGTGGTAAAGCCAAGCATTAAGTTTCAGGTCCGAATCATCTCGAGTGTGATCAATTTTTTAGGGGTCACGATCACAGACAAAGTCTGAGCCTTACCCCGATTCGTATAGAGGAGTCGCTTTGTACAAGTTCTGTGGATTAGTTAAGGCAAAGCCCCGAATATCCAGATATGAGGAGAGAAGAAGGAAAAAAAAAAAAAAAAAACCACCTATGCATGGTGTGTGTGTGGAGCAAGAAAAGTGAAATTGAGATTAAATGCTGACCAAAAATGAATATGTAAAATGATACACATTCTGAGACTAGTAAAAACACTTACATATAATTGTTGTTATGTATTTATTAAAATAAATTACGTATTTTATTTTCTAATTAGATTTTCTTTTATTGAATTTCAATATTTCCTACCACTATATTATTATTATTAGTAATTTTTCTTTAATTAGATTTCTTTTTATTGAATTAAATAAATAAAATTTTAAATATTATATATTTCATTCTCTTATTAAATTTCCTTTTATTGAATTTAAGTATTTCAGTTTTGTAATATTATATATTTCTTTCTCTAACTAGATTTTCTACTACTATATTATTATTATTAGTAATATGTCCTACTATTATATTATTAATTTAAGTTTTTTAATATTATATATTTCATTTTCTAATGAAAATTCCTTTAGTTTTTATAGTAGTATTTTTTACTACTATATTATTAAATATATTAACGTACTGAAATATTGGAACAATAAAATACTGAAACTCTTTTTAATAATAGATATTAAGGTTAGGATTTGAATAAACAAGCAATAAGGTATGAAAGGAATGAAATATAGAGGACATAAATTTAGAGAGAGAAAATGGTTGATGAAGGGAAATCTACTTGGCCAAATCTTTTGAACCAAACCTTGGATAGATGAATGGATTTGAATATAAATAAAAAAAAATTTAAAGTCCATTTGGCATGCGCTACGATATTATTTTTTTAATATTGATATTTAAATTTGGGCCCATATTATGTTTGAAATCGATGATATTGGTTTGAAATAATTCATAACATATCATATATATATATATATATTTGTCCAAACCCATATCACCAAATGGTGATATGGCGTGTTCTTCTATTGTAGCCAAGAACTAAAGCAAATTTCAGTTACCAAACATAGTTCTAATTTCTACCCAAAACACTCCTATAACAAAATGAGTGTTTTGATATTGACAAAAACACATAACGCTTAAAACACATCGCATGACATTCAAAGTTTTAATGGTTATTTTAAAATGACCAAAAACAGGATAATTTATTAAAATAAAGAATTACAAACCGTTGGCGTTGTTGATGACTATAGGAGAGCTGAGAGGGGCCACCAGAATATGGAAGTTGTAAACTTAGCAGGAACTCTATTGTGTTCTGGGCACCAGGCAAGTTGGTTTTGAACTTTCAGAGACCATATGGTTATTTTATTATTATTTTTTTCTTATGCTTCATTTGATTGAACATACCTCCTTTTTGTCATCGTTATTTATTTATTTATTTTTTTTTATGGATGGAAATAAAAAAAATAAAATAAAAAACCGAACACATTTGTAGGAACAAAATAATAGCACCAAAATGATGAATTGATTCTACCCTAACAAATCATTAAATCAGCTTAAATGAGAGAGATGGCTGAAAATGAAAACACCATATATATCAAGGGGAAGACACACAAATCTGAAAGTTGAAATAGACAAAGAAAAGCTGATGCAAAAACAAGACTCTCCCAGTTAATCCTTGTACCTAAGTCATGGGTAGACTTGGATTTCGGCAGGATTGTGACCACAGTGGTGTCCACTGTCTAGGGTAGCAAGCTCAGGGATTTATGTTAGAAAGTGAAGTACCTCTAACGTCTCGCTCATATTGAGACGTTATCAAGTACAAACCAAGTTTTTTGGAGAAGCATTTCTAGTAAAGGATATTGAGGAAACTGGAAAAATGACATGCATGTACCTTCTTTTGAAACCGAGTTTTTCGGGCAGCATCATAATCATGTCCTTTACTGAGTAAACAAAAGCTCCATTAGTGTACTAATCAGCAATCAAGTACAAACACAGCAAACTCTGTATCAAAACACAGCTCTGCAGTTATTCTACTCAGTGAAGCCAAAAAAGTTAAAATTGTTCTTATGGATGTAATCTCACATTCTAACTTATTACTTTGGTTCTAAATAGGAATTTATAAACTTATTTTCATTGTTAAAGATATTGTTTTTTTTTAAAAAAAATATATTTTAAAGGTGTTCTATTATGCTTTATTAGCATTTTAATTCCTGTGTTTATTTCAATTGTGATGATTACATCTTGGGACCGGTTATATCTTGGAACATTATATAAAGAACCCTCCTTGACCGTTTGCTAATATCAATCTCTAGGCTCACTGGATCAAGCTCTTTTTTCTCTCTCAAATATTCCACTATCTACATTTTGTAAATTTTAGAACTTTATGTGTTTATGGGCAGGGAGACACACAACTTGTTTACTCAGTCTTCCTCTGAACAAGTTCAAGAAGAGACACCGCGTACCTGCCAGCACTTGCATTGTATCTTGAAGTCGGTATTTTCGCTAATATCTCCATGTAAGAGGAAGTGCCAACTTTAGGACTATACCTAACACGTTTCTCAATCTCAAAATCTAGTTTATGTACTTTTATCATGTCTATTTATTTATCTAAGTATGATTATGACTTAATGTTTCTTCATTTTAATTATTCAACTTGTTAAAATAGAGATGACATAAAACATATTCAAATTTTTTTCTTTCTTTTAAGTAGATGAGTTAAGGCAAGGTCCTCTTGCACAAACAATTCAAAGTTACCTAGTCCTATGATCTATATCAAGATTTTTATCTATACTCTTTGTTGAAGCAATCAAGTAATACTTTTGCGACCAAAACAATCTAAAAACAGAATATGCTAATAAACTGTCTCTATTCTCTAAGTTTAACAGTGCATAAAAACACATCATTAACATTTCTCTAGAGTAAAGCTATCTTTGAATCATGTATCAGAGGTTCTCAAATATTGAAATCCAATGCAGCAAATTAATCTCTCCAAGCCTACCACTCAATAAATATATTGGGCACTTAGTGCACCTGTATTTCTAGCAAATCTTCAAAGGACTTCTCTTTTTGAAGACTATTGTTTCAATTTAGATTTATCTATACTGTTTGTATTGGAAAATTCTAATCTAATAAGATCTTATGCGCGAATATCAATAGGGATTGAGATTTTAGTTTGTTCTATACTTGACCGATTTGTTGAGTTTCAACATTCGGATAGTATATTCACGATTATTTAGAAGAAAAAAAAGAACAGAAAATGAACACAACAATGTTGAGATCATGCATGGTTCAGATCAAAGCATAGGAGAATAATGGTCATAAATACATCAACGAGTACTTTGAATGTACATATACCGTCACATTTCTTTTAGAATCAGCAAGACGACACTCAAAATAAAGCCAAGGAAAGTAATTAACCAGCATCAAGCTTAATCAATTCATTGCAGTTCAATTTGATCTATCATCAGTTCCATCAGTTAGAGAAAAGAAAAACAAACCCATTGCCCATTTTGGTTAACGAGGACGACCCTTCTTCTTTCCAGCAGTTGCAACCTGAGGAGCGGCCTTCCTTGCAGCACTCACAACCTGAGGAGCTTTCTTCTTTCCGGCACTCGTAACCTGAGGACCCTTCTTCTTTGCAGCAATCGGAGAAGGCGCCTTCTTTAAAGAAATCGGAACCCTCTTGCCCTTCAAAGTTCGGCAGTTGTTCCTCGTGCGCTGTCCTCTGCAAGGCAGCCCCTTAATATGCCTAATCCCTCTGTAGCACTGAATCTCCTTCAATCTCAGTATAGCCAAAGCATTGAACCTCCTCTGAGAGACATCAAAGACTAAATCTTTTAGAAACACCAATAACAATAGAGAAATAGGGAGCATATACATATGCACATTCACAAAAATACACAAGAACGGAGCTACATGACCCCACTGAATTTTTTACAATTATACTTCTACCTATAAAATTTTGAATTAGTATACAAATGCATCCACACTTCGATCTTTTGCACCCTCGCTCTTTTTCTTCTCACACTCACGCCTACACACACAAACAACAGCCAACAACCCCACATCCACGCTCTCTCCCTACACCATCCACGACTCTCTATCGAAAACAAATAATTTTTTTTTTATTCTTCCCATCAACAACAAGGTGTGCAAGTCTCAAGATGGTAAGAGTTGAGCCGAAAAACGACATTATAAATCTAGTATTTTATTTGCTTGTGACCTTGCAATTGATCCTGTCAGTTAGGACATCCATTGTAGAGATTGAAAAATACAAACCACGGGGTACTGATTTTATTTTTCTTTTACTCTCTGAAAATAACACCTTAGCTACACATTTTACTGCAAGACTTCGAACTTTGGAAATTTCACTTTAAAAAGAAGAGTAGATGCCACTGAGCTACAGTCCTTGGTGATAGAATTTGAATGTTGCAAGGTTTTCAAAACATAAACCCTAGTTAAGGACAATTGTATATGCATTGAATCAAAATATTATCAATTTATAATTAAGTTAAATATTATTTTAATTTATAACTTTTACCTTAATATTGTTCAAAGAAACAAATTTCTGGCTCCAAACCGCAAACACACACTTATATAAATACATACACACACACACATAAGGAAGGTTTTAGAGAGAGAGATTACGAGTTCGCCTTCAATCATGTACTTGGAGACCTGGTCACGGAGACTGGCGACTTCTTCTTCGGATAAGTCTTTGGTGATTTTGTTGTCCATGTTGAGATCACAGAGGATTTGGCGCGATCTGGTGCGGCCGATTCCATGGACGTGCTGAAGAGAGAACTCCACTCGCTTGTTGTCCGGAATCTCCACGCCTCCAATACGCACGCTTTTGATGACCAAATTACGGAGCTACATATCATCACCCAGAATCATATTATATGAAATAAAAGCCCTAACCCCCTGTTTGGTAGCCGAGAAAACGACGGAGAAGGAAAGAAAATAATAAAAGTAACTTTTTCTTTTTACTGTTCTTAGATGATGTTTTACGTTGTCTCATTTTCCTGCATTTTCTCAGCAAACAAACAAATTGGAAACAAAAACTTAATCAAATATTGCAAGGAGAGAAGAGGATGGTACCTTGGTTGGAGTGGGGAAAGAGAAAGATTTAGTGAGAGAAATGGGTTTAGTGGTGCTTGTGTTACAGATGAGAGACATTGATGGGGCGAGAGGCGTGGCCATTATTTGAGCCATTCTCTCTCTCTAGAGTATATCGTTTGAGTTTCACAGTGAAGATTCGGAAGAACAAAGAGGGAGAAGACGATCAAAGCCGGTTGGTTGGGCTTATGTCCGATAAAGGGGATTATTTAATAAATTACGAATTATATTTGCTATATTATACTCGTGTCTAGTCAAATGTAAGGTATTTTAAGAGTAATGATGCTATTATAAGTCCTCGTGAGTTTTTATTTTTATTTTTTATTTTTCATTATTACGTACAAGTATTGAAGGATAAACTAAACTCCTTGTAAGATGACTAAACAAAAATTATATAGTTAAAATTTCATTCAAAAATTCATTAACAGTAGATCAAATGAATCTGTTAAAATTTTACACTTTTTTTCTTGTCTAAATTACGTTATTAACTTTGACCGATTCGTGTGATCCATTGTTAATGAAATTTTAACTATATAATTATCGTTTAATCCTCTTTCAATGAGTTGAGTTTGTGCTTTAATATTTGTAAATAATCATGGCAAAAAAATGGAGAGCTCATGAGAAAACTATCTCATAGTAGCATTACTCTATTTAAATCATATATAATACAACAATAAACAATAAATACTAGGTGATGCTCTCAATCAAACCAAATTATTATATATTTTCTACCCTAAAAGATAGTAAATTAAAAAGTACAAGTCAAAATAATTATTATAGAACTCAAATATTGAGAGGGTTTAAATTATAAAACTTTCATTTACTTTCAAAATCGTGCGTGTGGAGGGAAAGATTCCCCTTAAAAAAAAAAAAAAAAAATCAATCACGTCATTAAATGAATTGTGACCCATCTCTTTTGGGCCATAAGCCATCAGAGGCCCATTACGATCAAGTCCTAAAATAGACATCATTAGCCCATTACAGGATCAACTTAATTTATCTTCGGTCAAATATACAATTTGGACAAATATTTTCCATGATTCAGATCAGATCAATCATGGCATCAAATGAGCCTTGCATAGAAGGAGCTATATAAAGAAAGAACCCTGCATAGGAAAAAAGCCTCATATGGAACAAAATATATGAGGATAATGATGAACAAAATCACGGTGGGCAAGCAAGGCGAGCCTTACTATAATGTATTCATCAAATTTTGTATAAATAGAGGCATAAGTCTGCAATAAAGATATATCAAATTCTCTCAATCTCTATTCTACTTTACTTTTATTATTTTCGTTGAGTGTTTATGTTTTTATTCTTCGACTCATCAGAGTTGACGAATTTTTGCACCTACACTTTGGCGCCTTCTTTGGGAAGCGTATAGAAATATACCCCTACGAGTGATTAGTTACTTGTTTTATGCGACTACGTTCCGGGATGTCAACTAGAGGTGTTGTAGTTGATCAATAGGCCGAACTGATGCAGAAGATGCGAGAAGAGTTCCCACAACAATTCAAGACGCTCCGACAAGCAAAGGAAGCCAGCACGGCTTAGATCACGTTGCTCCAGTAACGAAACAATGCTCTTCAGGTAGCCATGGAGCAGATAGCAGCCCAACCACCGCCGGACGCCACTTTGCCGAATGGAGCCTAAGGAGCTCCTCTCAACTGCGGTGAACCTCCAGAGGCCGAATCCTAGGGAATCCCTCCCAATCATGTTGTACCGCCAGAGGCCGAAGCCCGAGCCAACGAAAGCCGCTAAGAGCAGAAGACGAGAACCGAAGCCGAAGCTTCGGAGAACCACCCCCATTAGTGTGCACGGGACGAGTAGGTCGAATCCAACAGCAGACCGATAGCATGGTCAAACGGAGTCCCAGGAGCCTTCGATGAAAAAAGGTTCTTGAGGATTCAGATGCAAGTAGAGATGGCCAAAGAACATAATGTTTCCTTGATAAAGACTCCTATTCACTGATGAAATAAACTATGTGGAGAGGCCAAAGAAGTTCACCATGCAAGTCTTCATACAGTTCAACGGTATGGGAGACCCTTCTCGACATCTTGATCACTACTCTCAGAAGATGGCCATGGACAACCACAACGATCTGTTCACGTGCAAGGTATTCCCAACCAGTCTGACGGGAGTAGCGCTTGAGTGGTTCAAAAATAGACCACCCACGTCGATCCCAAACTATGAAACTCAGTGCATTATGTTCTTGGCTCAATACTGCAGCAATAAAAAGCAGAAGAAGACTATCGCTAGTCTCTTCACTATCAGACAAAAGAGGGGAGAACCTCTTCAGGATTTCCTCTCCAGGTGTAACATGGAAGCTTCGGAGATATTGGATTGTCCCTCTGCGACAGCTGTGGAAGCTTTAAAATCGCTATGATCCAGGGGACTAAGTTTCATGTCTCCTTGGTTAAGTACTCTCCTTCAGATATGCAGACTCTTAATGCCAGGGCGCGAACTTATGTTAGGCTCGAGGAGAATGTAACCAACAGGGCTTAGCATGTAACCCTCATCACGGTGGAGAATAAGCCCCGGGAGAAAGCCTCGGGCTCCAAAAACCAGAGGGGTCGACAAGCCTCGACACCAGCAGTCCAGCCACTAGAGAAGAAGCAGAAAAGTGAGAAAAAGAATAACCCCTCTCCGAACGTCCTTGGCCCGTTTATTCTAGGAAAACAAGGCAAGATTTGTAGCCCCCTAACCAATCCGGCAACCTTTGGAGCAAAGGGATAAAAGTAAAAATTGTGCCTACTATAGAGACTACGAACACATTACTAATAATTGCAGGACCCTCCAAAGGCAAGTGGAATCCATGAAAGCCAACAGAGACCTGGCAGATTACGTCAGGCCAAAGGAGCAACCAAAGCGAAGGAGGTCAATCCTAAGAGGGCCGAGGGCAATCAGGTGAAAGTTATTCACGCAATATATGGAAAATCTGAAGAAGATCAAGAATTAGAAGAGGTATACCGTTCCAGACTTAGAGCAGTCCATCTCCTCGGGCAGTATCAAGATAGGATTTGGTGATAAAGATTTGGCCAGAGTGCAGGTCCCCCATGATGACCCATTTGTCATTAGCCTCCTAGTGGCAAACTGCTTGATCAAAAGAGTCCTGGTGGACCCTGGCAGTAGTGCCTATATCATAATAAAAATAGCTTTTGAACGACTGGAGATCCCATCATCCTCTATCAGGACCACTTCCAGCCCTTTGTTAGGGTTTGATGGAACGAAAGTGGACCTTGTGGGAGTGATAGATCTATCATTCATTGCCGCGAAAAAAACACTGAAGGAAAACTTCGTTCTAACGGAGATTCATCCCTCTTACAACCTAATTATGGGTAGGCCTGTCAATGTATCGGATTCAAATTGGATCGATCAAATCCATATCCGATTTGTTAAGCAAACGGATTATCGGATTCGGATCACTAACGGGTTCTTGGACTAAATGTCCCAATCCATATCCTATTTAGCTTGGACTCGGATCGAATCGGATTCGAATTCGGATTAAAATCATATTTACTAACATATATAATTATAAAGAGTATGATATTACTAGTGTGTATATTAATAGATTTATTAGCATATGGATGAGAACACCACACTATTATATATCATTGTGATTTTTTTTGGATTTTTGGGTTACCTCTAATACAGTTCTAATAGGAGTATATGTGTGTGTGTGTATATATATATATATATGTAAAATTATTGATAAATAATTATTTATATATATATAATTTTAATCGGATCGGATCAGCATAATCCATATCCGATTTGTTAAGCTAACGGATTATCGGATTCCGATCGTAATCGGGTTATCGGATTTTTTGTTCAATCCATATTCGACTAATCGGATCGGATTCATATCGGATCTGGATTAGGATCAGCTCCATTGACACATATAATTATGGGTAGAGGGTGGATTCACTGAATGAATGGGTTCCATCTACCCTGCATCAGGTGATGCGATGCTTATCTCCGGAAGGTAAAGAAGTCATTAACCTTTGGGGAGATCAAGCCGCAGCTAAGGAATGCTATATGGTAACACTGAAGGAAGCGAAGAAAGGTAACAAATCGCGCAAGTTGAACATGGCCTCCAAAGGCACTGCTAAATAGCAATTATAGAGCCATCTGCCCAGATGCTTGTTAGTAGAGGCAGAGGCACGTAAGTCCACCGAAGAATTGCTTATAGCCATTAAGGTTATTCCTGGTGATCCACAAAAAGTCACTTACATTGGGTCCTCACACTCATCAGAGGAAAAAGAGATGTTGATCAGCGTCATTCAGAAGAACGCAGATATGTTCGCTTAGGGCCACATGGATATGCCTGGGATTAATCCTTCGGTCTTATGCCATAGCCTCGGAGTCGATCCTTCATTCAAAGCAGTCTGACAGAAACATAGGAGATTCGCTCCTGAAAGAAACCAAATAATTGCGAAGAGGTGGATAAACTACTTCAAACAGACTTCATCAGAGATGTGCACTACCCTCATTGGCTCTCAAACGTGGTGGTGGTGCAGAAGAAGAATGAAAAGTCGAAGGTGTGTATAGACTTTACCAACCTCAACAAAGCTTTCCCCAAAGATAAGTTCCCACTACCGAAGATAGACCAAATGGTAGATGTTACCATAGGCTATGAGTGACTTACATTCCTCGACGCATACTCCAGATATAATCAGATCCCTATGAATCCGGAGGATGAGGAGAAAACATCATTTATTACAAAGAAGGGAACTTTTTGTTACAAAGTTATGCCCTACAGGCTTAAGAATGCCGGAGCCACTTACCAACGCCTTATCAATAAGATCTTTGGCGAGATGCTTAGAAAAACAGTGGAGGCATACATTGATGACATGGTGGTTAAGAGTGAGAAGAAGGAAAATCATTCCGAACATCTTCAGGAGGTGTTTAATGGGCGCTGAAAAGTGCGCATTTAAACCCCTTAAGCTTAGGTATTCTAGGACTTTTATCTATCTTATTTTTTCGCCTTAGATCAATTTCATGTTATTGCTCTTTTCAGGTGCTTATCCCCAAAATAAGCTAATTCAGCCAAATTATAGCATAAAAGAAGCAATCTTGAGCTGAATGGAAGAAAG